TCTCTCTCTCTCTCTCCCGCCCCCCTCCCACCCATGAATATTTTTGCAAAGTTGGAACAGCTTCATTATGAGCAATTGAGAGCAGAATACCCTGTAGCCTACTGATTAGGGCACTCATCTGCTAAGGGAGAGACTTGAGTTCAAATCCCTGCTCCTATGAATATTTAAGTATTTATACAAAATGGAACATATTCAACAGGAGAGATTGAGAGTATCCCACCCCTAAATAGCCTATAGTTTGGAGGTTAGGATGCTCACCTGGGAAGGGAACATCTTAATTCAGATACCTATTCTAGAGTGGGAATTCAAGCCTGGTTTTCCCACCTGCCAAGCAAGTGTCCGAACCATCGGGCTAAAGGGGCGCACACATTCTCTCATTCTTATCTGAAGCACCCTGAAAACATTTTCATTTTATTGAATAAACTATTTGAAAAAATTTTTCCCAGCTCTACTCAGAAGTGTATTGAGGTCTTGATTTTCTCTTCAGCCACTTGTTACGTACATAAGTGTTTGCTATTGTTCATGCAGTTAAATAACTAAAATTCACTCTATCGTTTGTTGCTGGGTTTTTTTAAACTACAGTATATTCTAAGGTAGAAGAACATTGTTTTGGACGAAAAATAATTAGAGATCTGGATATTTTAAATTGTATTAAACATTTGAAGCGCCCATCCATTTATTTGTGGGTGAAATTTAACCCTTTGAACACTACTGAACAAACCATTATTTGCTAACAAGATAGAAGTTCTCAAATAGTCCTTATTTCCTAGCATGCAAATAGTGCATATTACTGTCAAAATATATAATACTTTCAGATACTCTATTTTGTGCGCCAAACAAAAATGTCTGATATAAAATGATAGAGATTTGGGAATTCTGAAAAGGAAACACAGCTGTTTTTACCATAGAGGGCACATATATACCCAGTCACTGAGGTATCTGGTGTTGAAACACAATATAAAAGAAGTTAAGATATATTCAGTTAGAACATCTGTATGATATTAAAATTGCCAAATCTTAATTGGGTGCAATATTGTCTTAAGAAATATGAACTGTTCTTAATATGGAGAGCAGGTCAGAGCTCAACTGACTGGTTAGTCATGGAGGTGGAATAACTAGTTCATATCTAATTTCTTACTTAACCCTTTCCTATTCAGATACTTGTACTATGTATATTATAAGTAAATAATGAGATTCAGTTCTTTTTTGATAGTTATATTTTCTTAGTTAAATATGGCTTTAAAAATAGCGTAGTCGAACTAACTAATATATAAGTGTGTACGTATTGGTGTTCTTTAGTAACTGCCAGCTATTTGAAACCTTGGCAGCATTACAAAATTTGATCAGTTTTCCATGTGATAGGTATTCCAGCGAAAGGTCAATGTGGGTAAAAGAGAGAATCATTTCACAGAAATGGTAGCAGATAGCTTTTGATAATGTGCTGATAGTGAGATGATCTGTCTTAAATATTATTTTCAGCTTTCATTTAAAAAATACTATGCAGTAGCAACGAGATGTAAGTCACTTGTATTTGCATAAATTCCTAAGCAAGCAGTTTTGGTCAGATCATTAGTAAGCTTTTATATTTAGCATGCAGGTCATTTGTCCAGACATTAAATTGGTTTTGTATTTGAGGAAACAAGCAGTCAAACTGTTTCAACTTTCAACATACAAGATCCATCAGAACTGCTCTTTCTCCTTGTCACTTGTATCTAAATATCTTACGTAAAGTAAAAAAGTAATTTCTTTGGCTTTGGAATATTTTTATAGATCTTTCTGCCATGCCTCGTGGTACACCTTTGTATGGACAGCCATCCTGGTGGGGTGAGGATGAGGCTGATGAAAAAAATGGTTGCAAACAGGATGTCAAACATGAAGAAAAAATACATGAAACAGGAGCTTCAGGTGAGACTGTTCAGAAAACATTTCAATTTGTAGTATCTTTTTTACTCTTTAGTAAGTAAGTAGCTCTTAAATGTGGGACCCCACGGAAGTATATAAGAAAGATAACTGTTTTTCAATAATTAATGACTTATTAATCAATTTTGTATGTTCTTTTATCACTGTTAAATACTGTTGCTTCACTAGTATCTGAACTTTATGCTGCAGAGTGGCCTTTCTCTGTTGACCTTCTGTTTTTTGTCACTGTTTTTGACAGCAAAGTACTTCAGATTTTCATCATATTGGAGTCTATGGCTGAAATCCTGGCCTTATTGAAGTCAGAGGCAAAAACGCACATTAATTTTAATGGAGCTAGGATTTTTCCCTTTGTGAATGCCTTCTTTAGTTCTCCTCAACTATTGTCATGATGCAGTGGACAGAGTTATTCTCCAAATATTTAATAAAGCTGTGCTTACATGAACAAAAAAGATATAAATACATGTTGGAGATTGACTGCTTGAGAAATTTCTCAACTTCACTCTGTTTAATACCAATTCACATAGGTGCTGGAACTAGGGGATGTGGGGGTGCTTCTGCACCCCCTGTTTTGAAGTGGTTTCCATCATATATAGGGTTTACAGTTTGGTTCAATGGCTCTCCGCACCCCCACTATACACATTGTTTCAGCACCCCTGCCAATTCAACCCAGACATAGATTTAATTATTTGATTCCACATAATATCCACTACACATTTAATCCAAATTCTAGTAAATGAGATTTTGTTAACCAGCCAGGTTTCTGGATTCCTGACAGTTATTCACTGATAAAAGCTAGGATAAGTTTGGCTAGTAAAAAACAATTGTTCATAAATAGCAGTTCAACAGTAACAGAACTGTACTGTTCTGAGTACAGAGTTTGTTACCTAAATCACTTTGTACACAGTACAATAGCTTACTAGTGGATATAGTGAGTAAAGTCATTCTTCCGAACTAACATCGATCCGATAGTGATTAAATCCACATCTGTCATTTGGTATAAAAAAAAAAATTAAGCCATTGTAATGGACACTGTCACCAAATCCAATATCTCTGACTCTGAAAATAAATGGTTCTGTTTTGTTTTGCTATGTGGATGCCAGCAGTACAAGATTCCTTCTGGCAACATTCTGTCCTACTGTCATCCCTTAGTGTTTCATCAGCATTAATGTTAGTCCATATTTAATGAAAAAAAAATATTTGCATGTTCTGATTTATATGTTAAATTTGCAAGAAAATTCACCTCCGTGATATCTAATACTAGGACTTTCCATTTCTACTAGTTATGCTGTTAAAAGTTAGTGTGTGTAGAATATATGGCCAAAACTTACAAACGTGGGTACCTAAAGTTGGGTACCTAAAGTTAGGCTCCTAAATCCATCATGAGGGCATTTAAATAAAAGTGGACTCACTTTGGAAATTGTTGAACACTCACAAATCCTATTTAAATCAAGGCAAATCCAAGCCACTTTTATTTAGGTTCCTATACATGGATTTGGGAGCCTTATTTTAGGGGTGTGTGTGTCTGTGTGTGTGTGTGTGTTTGTGTTTGAAGGTGTTTGGTTTTTTTAAAAAATTGGAATGATTTTTGTTTCCTTCCTCCTGTTACATCATCTCTCCTACCAGAGAGGGGTTGGAGCAAGCCCTAGATGTCTCTTAAAATAACCCAAAATAATTTAAAAATGTAGTGAACTTAAGATCCAATATCTTAGGACCTTTGGGGACTATATGCGAGTTTGGCAGCCTTGAATTTCCACGTTCTAATGGAATAAAGTTTTCACCATTAGGGCTTTGGATTAGTGAGTAGAGACTGGGTGAAGACCTTCAAAGGTTTCTTTTAAAGTGATGACTTTTTTATGTGTAAAAAAAGTTTTTTGTCACATTCTAAGGTTTTTATGGCTCTTCTTGAGTCTTCTACAGTTTGACTAAGACACCTAGTTTTACAGGCATAGGTATACAGAAATAGTCACAATAATTTGCATGAAACTCTTTAAACTTCACTACAAAAAATCTGTACTTTATGTGGGATAAATAAAATGCATGATGGTATGATATAAAGGGTTTGTGAATACTTGTCTGAGATAACATAACTCATTTGTAGGTTCACCATCCTGCACTTCATGTTAATTAAAAAAAATATTTCTCTGAAGATACCATTTGTGCAGCATTCTCACTCCCGGGTCCCAGTTCCCTAGCAAGGGACAGGTAAAATTCCCTGAACTCTGTGGGGTTTTGGTCTGTAACAATGGTGGTAGAGTTTTATTCAGGTTCTCTGTTCTCATAACAGTTATCAGTGACTGCCTTCTGAAGAAAAACAAGTGACTAACCTGTCATATGTGTTTCTGTCTCCATTCTTCTCTCCATAGGGAAAATTGCATGTGTTGTGGGGTTGGGTAAGGAAAAATGTCTGTTGCTGTCTGTGAAGGCAAGTGGAAAGCAGTGAGGTTTAGCATTATAGCACTTTTCTCCCTCAAGCTCTTACCTTCTCCATCTCTGTTGGGCCCTCCCTTTAAAATATGAAGTATACGGTCTTAGTGGTAGGGCCGTCCACCTTCTTGCTTTTTAAAATTGGGGGATTGTAAAACACTGGTCATGAAATCTTCCATTCTTCCATCTTTCTGTCTCTTCCATGGTGTTACCTCTGCCACCTCCTTTTTTGTCACCTGGTCAGATGCCAACATTTATGGCATTGTTCACTCCATAGGTCACTAGTCCTGACTGGTCTTCTGATTCAGAGGAGTAATATTGTATGTGAACATGGGGGAGGATAGTTTTCTTAAAAGAAAACTAAGGAAACAAAAGTCAAATGAAGGGTAATTTTAAGAGGGATTTAAAAAAAATTCTTGTATCCATTTTTGTTAGTTTAATGCCACATTTTGAAAAGTGAAATTGTGTAATTCTGTGGTTTTGTTGTAATTTTTATATAGGACTGTGTTGTTAGTTTTTTTAAATAAAACTAAAAAAATCTCTGCAGGATATATATTGTGCTGAAATAACACCACTCTTTGGGTGACTTCTGAAGATCGCACCCAAGGTAGGAAAGTACTCCAGAATGATGTGCAATTTGTTGTCTTATTTTATTCATACATTAAAACTGCTTTCTTCATAATAGCATAAGTACTTTGTGAAAGAGAGGAGTAGCTTCTACAGTGCTCTCTGAATTCAAAGAAACGCAGATAAGAGAAGCCAACATCTGATTAAACCAACTGGTCAATGAAATCAAAACCTGCCTTCGCAGTAGAATGGAAGGAAAAAGAAAGTTTGTCTGTGCTAGAGAAGAACTCAGTAATGAATGGAAGTCTAAAGGATTTGTTTAATGTGCTCAGTTGTGGTAATTTACAAACAAAGTGAAGAATGGCAAGGTTAGACAAAATTTTGATATAAGGTTATAAAAAATATTTGGGCATGTAGCCTCACAGGAGAATACATAATGTGCATCATCTCACTGTGTGAAACAGTTCCATGTTACCTTTGAAATACCTTTTCAAGGTACCTTCTACAAACAGAATCACTGTAAGAGAGATTAAATAAAAATATTTGTGCAAATAGCTTCTTTGTTAAAATTGAAGGGTTATTACTTCTAACAAAAATGGAATTCAGCTTGTGACAGAAGAATATAGTCAACAGACTTAAGTGAATAAAGTTGTACAAGAGCATTAAAGCCAAAAAAACAAAAAACCCACAAAACAAAAAACCCACAAACCCTATATTGGTGAATATTTGGTTCCTTTCTCTAAAAGGATTCAAATTGCATGGATATAGAACTTTAAGATCCCACACTAAGAAAATAAAATCACTATTTTCAATCACTTTAGGTTATCAGTAAACTTTCAAACTCGGTCTCCATGTGTTTCAACTTCTCTGTATCTGATGTAGAATGTTTATTAGTGTTGGCAGAATGCCTGAGTAGACATGTCAGGTGGAAGGCCATCTTGAGGGGACAGAGGGCTTTGTCTGGACTGGCAGGAAGAAATGAGCTGTGGCTCCTTTACGTGTCCTCTCTCCCTTTGAGGTTGGGAGGGAGTTGGCTGGCAGGTGAGGAGGATGGCATCACCTGAGCTGGTGGGTGGGCTGGTAGGGCTCAGGTGATGCCCATTGGCCCCTGCACACATGGGGGAGTGTAGCCTTGGTCTTCCAGCCTGAATCCCATCTCATTTCTGGATTAACTGCTCCCTCTCTCCCATACCTGGAATTAGGGTAGGACTGGGTTTTTTTGGTCTACTGTGGGCATTATGATAGTTGCTTTTTGTGACTAGGAACGAATTTTACCATCACTGTCAGATTGGCTAGCATGGGGAGGTGGACTTTTTGGCATCCCCACAACAGCTCAGAGACCCGGTCAGGAGGTAAGCTTCAAGCCGTCGTAATGTAGCAGGTGGCAGGGTTCAGTGCAGGTATTTGCTCCTTAGAGGTCCAGTTCTCTGATAAACTGGCATTTGATGTAGCCTTCAAGACCTTTCTAAAGAAGCTGAGGAACAGAATAGGGGCTCCTAAAGTTTGGTTCTGCGAGGAGCCCAACTCTCTTTCCCCATACACTTAATCCTCATGTGAGGGGAGAGTGGTGGGTTCCCAGCAACGGGCTGGGAACCCACTGTGGAGGGCTGGGGAGCTAGTGGCAGCCCTCTACCAGGTGGAAACAATTAAAGACGGAACCATGATCTGCACTGTACAATTTATTGCTGAATAGGTTGAGTTAATGAGTTAAGTTTAGTAAAGGTATTACCTAATTAAATCACATTCCTTGGATCCTGTCTGTCTTCTGACATGTGTAGGACAAACAATTTTGTTCTATGTGGTATACCTTAGTGGGCTTCCCTCCCCCAGAAAACCTGCTTTCGTGTCATACTAGTATTTGCTGTGGAACTGTTCCAAAGTTACTAAATATTTTCACACACTTTAATACCAAATAAATTATTACATAGCCTTTTTTGGACCACTTCACTGGCGCATAATTTCCTAGGCTTGCTCCCCCTAAAGTTTTCATCCTT